ATAATTGAAGAACTACGTGAGGCTGAAATCATATATTAGGACCTGACATTATACAAAATGTCTCATTTACATCATGAGTGTCGATGTGTTTGGACGGCAGTTGTCATACAGCAGTAAGACCACCACTGCTGCTAGGACAGGTCCACCAGGTGATGGATTTAAGCGTACACTCGATGGGAATAACAGTATTGAGGGCAAAAATTATGCAACATCGCTGATCCAGTGGAAGAATTTGATGCCATTTCTCTGCACTTTTTGCGGGAAAAACTGAGGAAGGAAATCGAGGAGGTGAAAAAAAGTGTGGAGCCCGATTTTATAGAGAAATTAACGGCTCAGAGTAGAGTTATAAATGAGCGTGAGCTAGCAATACGCAAACGTGTGAAGAATCTTGAGGGCAAACTGAAGGAATACTGGCACAAGATCGGAGAGTTGAATAAGCAATTAAATGGATCTAACGAAACGGACAATAGCTGAAGAGCTTCATAGGCCAGCTCGAAGAAATTTCAAGCGACGACATGTTGAGGTCCGTGGACTAGATGAGACGTGGCAGGCTGATCTTGTGGAAATGATTAAATACGCAAACTCCAACAAAAATTATAGATATCTCCTCACGGTCATAGATATTTTCTCTAAGTACGCCTGGGCAATTCCCACCAAATCAAAAAATGCTGCTGATGTCACAAGTGCCATGAACTTAATTTTGAAAGAAGGTCGTGTTCCAACAAAACTACATGTTGATCAGGGCAAAGAGTTCTATAATAAAGACTTTCGAGCTCTCATGAAAAAGAATAAAATAAACATGTACTCAACCTTCAGTAACGTCAAGGTATCCATATGTGAACGTTTCAATCGAACGCTGAAGAATAAAATGTGGAAGCAGTTTTCTATCCTGGGAACTTACAAGTGGATTGATATTATTGATGATTTAGTAGCAGAATACAATAATACTAAACATCGAACCATCAAAATGAAGCCGAAAGACGTCACAATCAAAAATGAAAAATCTTTGTTGAGACATATATATGAGAAATTACCGATAAATCGTACGAAGAAAATCAAATTCAAGGTTGGTGATAAAGTGCGAATCAGCAAGTATAAAACAATTTTCGAGAAAGGATACACCCCCAACTGGACAACAGAAGTTTTCACAATTCAGAAAGTACAGAAGACCAATCCTGTCACCTATAAACTTGTGGATGGGAATCATGAAGCAATCAAAGGAGGTTTTTATCAGGAGGAACTGAGTGGAGTGAAGCATCCAGATGTGTTTCTTTCATTAAACCTATCACTTTTTTATTCACTCTTGGCATTTGATAAACATTCTCTGCTGGATAATCGGAAGTATGAAATTTCGTAATATCTCGTTTGATAAACTCATAAATATCAGGAACATTAAACTGATACAAAAGACTGTCTGTGTCAGTGTACATTAATTTTGAACGCTCACCAAACACTTGTTTCACATAATTATAATGAAAATCATAGATATAAATTTTCGACAAATCCAAAATGGCGAATCCAACGTAGATTGGTTTATTAAAAGTGATTCGCGTGCGATTCATTTCAATTATCACCATATCATCATCGAAAATCAAACTGCTGTGGAAATTAGGCAGAGCGATGCGAGCTCTTGCCCCCCACCTTCCACCCCACTCGGTGACTAATTTGACATCTTTGTGCTTCCTTACATTCTCCATGGTTTTCCCAAAAACAGCATTATTCATTAATTTGAAGAAATTCTTTTCAAATTCACTCGTCGATTTTTTCCGCATTTCTGTGTTCAGGTCAATATAGGGCTTGAGCCATGTTGCTTGCTTGAATTTCAATAGTCGATGGATCCTCGTCAATTTCATTCCAAGATTCAAACTTTGTTTCAAATTTCTGTAATGTATAACGTAGGACTTTTTGGCATACAGAGTAGTCATTAGCTTGGTATTCTTGCAATTTGGAGGAACAAAATGTTCAGGACAGAGAGGTAGGTCCTTGTGTGCATCATGGAGTTCTTTGGGATATTCCAAGTCTACTTCCAATATATACCCCATTGGAGAATCATCGGGTACATGCGGAACATTGAATCCTTCGGGATTTCCCCACTCAAATGCACCACAGGGTAAGTATTGACTCATCGCTGCACCGTACAAATTATTCACATCAAAGTACATAAGATATGATTCCTCTTCGTTTGGATTGTAATTCTCACTCATATAACGATTATTGGCATGGGCATAACGATTAGTGCACTGAGCTACTCCTCCTCGGATACCTTTTTCAATGAAGAAGAGTTTATCAACGTCTGTGAAAAGTTCAATCTCCACACCAGTACATCTCAATATTGCATCGAACGCAAGACCAGGTGCTGTATAATAATGCAGTGGATCTAGTTTATACATGGAGAAACAGCTTTTCCGGAAATTCTCGAAAATGTCTGCAAGAAGTAACACATCAGTTTTCAAATACAAATCAGAATATTCACCAAGTGTTGAGAGACCAAATTTCTCCCAAACTTGACACACATGTGTATAATGGTCCTTTGAAATGGTTTGGTTGTTCAGTGCCGAAAAAAAAGCTTCTCTTGAGGGCAGTTCTCGATCATCCAATTTATCCCAACTATCCAAGTATTCATAGGGAAATACACCCTTCCTCATTAATATATGGAATTGTTCATCATCATCACAATGAGCCTGTGTAATAGTCTTGTCTACATCAGTCAGGTCTGATGCCAATTGTTCCAAGCTACTTGCCATGAACCTGAACGAATCGATGAATCTCAAGCTAACTTTTGTCTGGGGAATAGATTTCCTGAATGAAATATATTTCTCTTTGGTTAGCGGAAGCAACTCCACCGATCCTTCGAAATGCTTCACTAAATCCTTAATCAAAAAATGCGCATCATAGCCTGAGAGATTATGAAAAATTACGGGGATATCTTGTGAATTTTTGTAATGTATATTGCAACCATCATGCGCCGCCCCACGATACCTGCCTGTAAAGTGACAATGATCTCGATGTTTTTTATCTGTTGAACTAAAAGGCTTCTCACATATATGGCACACTCGAGCAGTTGCAAAGTCTCGCCATTTTTCGTTGGTAAGTGGCTCCATTGGTACAACAGTCTTCAATATATTATTCACCATCTCTCCCGTCTTCTTTAATTCATTCATGAACCACACGATATAATCCGCGCCACGTTTGATTTTAAAGAGAGATAGGTTACTATTAAAGAAACACTGTAAGTAGAAAGCGATACTGTGAGGGATATGTTTCTAGTACAATCTGTTATCATCATCATCATAATCATCAATCGGTTGTAAAATATACTCCAGATCGGCGTAAATAACGAATGGCACTGGTTCCTTGAATTTATGATTTCGAAATTTCAAAATTTTATTCTCCTCTAATGGTAGTATCATCTTACACTTATTGATGGCAAGACAGTCCTGTTTGTGATCCTCATAACGTTTTTCTCCCGAAAATGACACAAGCACTGATCACAGAGCCATTTACGGTGATTGTCATTTGAAATTTGCGCACTAACAAGTCTTGAAAGATGACTAATCCACGTGAAGTGATAAACTAGCTGTACACTGACTGGCAAATGCACACTCGTACAAAAAAGTAATAAATGAATTGTAGGTATGTCTGATTTCATTTTGCTAAGGTAAAATGGCACTATTTCCTTCTCAGCGTTCACTCGACTTTCAAGGCCATAAATATTGATTGAATNATGACACAAGCACTGATCACAGAGCCATTTACGGTGATTGTCATTTGAAATTTGCGCACTAACAAGTCTTGAAAGATGACTAATCCACGTGAAGTNGTTTGTGATCCTCATAACGTTTTTCTCCCGAAAATGACACAAGCACTGATCACAGAGCCATTTACGGTGATTGTCATTTGAAATTTGCGCACTAACAAGTCTTGAAAGATGACTAATCCACGTGAAGTGATAAACTAGCTGTACACTGACTGGCAAATGCACACTCGTACAAAAAAGTAATAAATGAATTGTAGGTATGTCTGATTTCATTTTGCTAAGGTAAAATGGCACTATTTCCTTCTCAGCGTTCACTCGACTTTCAAGGCCATAAATATTGATTGAATGACCATTTCTCTTCTCAAATTTAAGAACATCGCTTAAAGAGATGGGGAAATTAATACCCATGTAATCAAGTCTCTTCTGGCTTTGGGGTAGAGTTGCACTAGCATAATGTGGGTGTGAATAAGTAACACATTTGTTTCTCTTCGCCGGATGAAGAGCCGCAATAACTGACCACAAGAAACAGAATTTATCTGAATTTTTTATATTCACAATGGCTTTTTTACACTGTATATAGTACGGAAGCTCTGCGTAAGTCGATAACCCTGCAGCGAGTGGACTATATCGAATGATATTAACCATTAAATTTATCACTTCGATTAATTCCCACCCTGAATCTCGTTCTTGGAAATCCTCGATTTTTATAAGCAGTGGTTCAATAACATTCTCATCAAACCGTGCCCTCAGGTCTGTAGCTGGTAGAATAATTGCATTTTTCGTATTAAAATGTTTTATTTCTTTGATAATGGTCTCTTCCTTCTTGATTTGAAATTTACAAGCTAATATACTGTTCACTTGCATATTCCCATTAGTCTCGAGAACATTTTTCAAACGCGGAGTTATTAATTCTTTGGCATCACTCAGAAAGGCGGCTGGATCCTTGTTTTGTAGATTAATCACANGACCATTTCTCTTCTCAAATTTAAGAACATCGCTTAAAGAGATGGGGAAATTAATACCCATGTAATCAAGTCTCTTCTGGCTTTGGGGTAGAGTTGCACTAGCATAATGTGGGTGTGAATAAGTAACACATTTGTTTCTCTTCGCCGGATGAAGAGCCGCAATAACTGACCACAAGAAACAGAATTTATCTGAATTTTTTATATTCACAATGGCTTTTTTACACTGTATATAGTACGGAAGCTCTGCGTAAGTCGATAACCCTGCAGCGAGTGGACTATATCGAATGATATTAACCATTAAATTTATCACTTCGATTAATTCCCACCCTGAATCTCGTTCTTGGAAATCCTCGATTTTTATAAGCAGTGGTTCAATAACATTCTCATCAAACCGTGCCCTCAGGTCTGTAGCTGGTAGAATAATTGCATTTTTCGTATTAAAATGTTTTATTTCTTTGATAATGGTCTCTTCCTTCTTGATTTGAAATTTACAAGCTAATATACTGTTCACTTGCATATTCCCATTAGTCTCGAGAACATTTTTCAAACGCGGAGTTATTAATTCTTTGGCATCACTCAGAAAGGCGGCTGGATCCTTGTTTTGTAGATTAATCACAGTACCAGTACGTATGCGACCTTGAAAGGCTGAGGGTCCATCCCTCCAGCGTACTCGATCTGTGAGTGTTTCTTCTCTACTACCTGATGGCACCTGCACTCGACCCCCTCGACGTCGTCTATTCCTGAAACTCTCCTGGTATCCTTGGATTCGCGCGATTGTCGCTAGAAGTTGATTTTTCTCACCAACAGAGAGATTAGCTTTGGTGAGAGTTTTTGTATAAAGTTGAATATAGTGGATACACCGATTAATCCATTGGTCGATGTCTTGAGAGAGTGCATTCTGGTAAGCATGTTCCAGAATTTCAATTATTCGAGCACAGGGGATGATGTTACGTTCCATCTTGGAATTACACTAGCGAACTCAATGAAGATGCACATCCATTTATAGCAACGATCGTCTTTGTTTGCATCTCGAGTACCTACTGAATTTCTCAGGAATTATCGACGGTTGGGATTCTGCGATCAATTTGTCCGTTGAGAAATACGTTGGATGGAACTCTCAAGAATTATCTGACGGTTGAGATTCTGAGAGTAATTTTTCCGTTGAGAAATACGTTGCATGTTACCCCACTCCCCCAATAATCTTTTGACCGTTGAAATAATAGCCAATAATCGCATCCTCCCCTCCCCTAATTGAAAGACTATAAGTACCGTTAGTGTAATCAGTGGTTATCCAGTCGATTGCCTGCAACGGTGACCATACAATTCTCCAATAACATCCAGTGAAAACAGCAGAGAGAGAACAGTCAAAATAGAGACGAACCAAGCAACGAATCTCGATGAAATCAATTAAATTGCAACTATGGGGGATTTCCTGCCTACCAAACGTCGAGCAGAGCTAACTCTCGGCCAGGTGTATCCCGTAACGGATTTGGAGATCATCCCTACGAAGTTTGGCAACAAAGTGACAGTTGTGTTGATGGATAAGTGCATCGTTTATCTGCCAAAGCGAGTGTCCGACGTCTTTCTGCTGGATCTACCGAAACTGGAAATGTTTCGCATGGCTGCTGCCTCCACACGTCTGAAAATCACCTTTCTGGAAGGACCCTACAACCCATGCCTCTTCAGTTGGATCGACACCTAAAAATTTATCGTAAATACTTACTGATATTTGTCAAACTGTTGACCCAATGTAACAATAATAATCTGAAAAGATGACGCTGGTGAAATAAATGAACAACAACTCAGAATTTGCGTTTTTTTTTTCATATATATTTAAGAAAAACATTTCTTTAAAAAAANCGAAACTGGAAATGTTTCGCATGGCTGCTGCCTCCACACGTCTGAAAATCACCTTTCTGGAAGGACCCTACAACCCATGCCTCTTCAGTTGGATCGACACCTAAAAATTTATCGTAAATACTTACTGATATTTGTCAAACTGTTGAACCAATGTAATAATAATAATCTGAAAAGATGACGCTGGTGAAATGAATGAACAACTCAGAATTTGCGTTTTTTTTTTATATATATATATTTAAGAAAAACATTTCTTTAAAAAAAATCGAAAATATAAAAAAAATTATATAATAATATAAAAACTAAAGAATAATTGTGATAAAAAAAATTAACTAATGATATAAAAACTAAAAGAATATATATAAAAACTTTTGATTTTGTAAAAATAAAAAAAAATATGGCGCACAATCCGAGAATTAACAGCATCTGAAACACAAGAAAAAAAAAACATTCAAATTAGTCAAGGAGAAAAAAGAAGTGAGAGAAGTAAGGAGAGAGAGAATAATGTTTACTCACTTTATTCAATGCGATGGTCTTGATCCTCCAAAATGAGCCATGCTGCGGGGACCAGGGATCTTTCGTATGGCAGCATCTCTCGTGCCTCTTCCTCACGATCCACGAGAAGGAGGAAGTTTAGGAAATTCCACAATTCCTGGTGAAGCTCGCTCAACTACACACAAAAAAAAGTCATATATATATATTAATTATTTCTCACTTGTAATTACAAAATGAATTATTCCACTCTTTTTCATTCGGTACTTACTTTGCTGACGAAATAGAAATCTCCGAGGTACCCCATGAATTTGTAGAGGAGATGCATGGGGACCTCAAGATGGCCAATCAAGCCATAACAGTGCTGGAATTTACTCCAGCACTCATCCACCTTCTCCAACCACCAGTTCTCCATCTTAACATCATCATCCTCAACCTCTCCCCTGAGATCTGGGTCTGGGAAGGGATAATTCTCCATTTTCACTATAAAAAAAAACAGTACAATAATTAGTACACACTATATACACTGAGCAATCACAAAGTACACTGCACTTTTAAAGAACCACTTTCAATATTTAATACTTACATCGACTTTAAAGTTTTGCTAACACACAATTTTTCAAACTGTATCTCAGACGACCCGAGATGTAATGAAGAAGAGCCGCGTTACGCG